CCCCCCCCCAAAGAAACCAAGCAAAACAGTCTTTCCATTGTCTCAGACATGGTGAAGTCCTGTTTCCAAAACAATGGAAGAGAACATGTTTTATCCATTCATACTAATGTGCTCTAAGGATGACTGTTGATTTATGATAATTTCCTAAAATAGCATGGAATTTGACTCGCTCTGTCTGACTTAAACCTTGTTCAATCCATTGATCTCGGGAACATATCAGAAGCTTAACATATAATATTCCATACTTATAGTGGCTTCGAAGGGCTTACCCTAGTCCCATTGAGCAGATCCTTAGTGGAAAAAAATTACACTGCTCCAGGTTTCATTACTTTGCTCCAGGTTGCATGATGATTAGTTGCTACTCTACAGTCCACTGACAAGTAGTGGGAGGTCTCTTTAAAGAGGAGCCCTTCAAATATCTGCCAACTGTTCTATCTTTGTGCAATTGTTAAGCTACTCAAAGTCTTTTCAGTATTTGTTCATGGCTCAAAACTGTATTTTACTCTTCATGTTGCTAATAAGAGCTAGAATTGAAAACTAGTATGGACTTTCCTGACCTTTTCTGTGTCCCCCCAATTAGGGTTGAAAGGAGGAGCGGGCGGACCTGATGGACAGGGTGGCACCTTTCGATACTCTTTCCATGGTGACCCACATGCCACGTTTGCAGCATTTTTTGGTGGCACAAATCCTTTTGAGATCTTCTTTGGAAGAAGAATGCCTGGAAGTAGAGACACTGAAGACATGGAAGTGGATGGAGATCCTTTTGGATCCTTCACTAGTTTTAGCATGAATGGATTTCCAAGAGAGAGGAATACAGTTGGTAGCCAGCTTCGTCGTAAACAAGATCCCCCAATTATCCATGAACTTAAAGTATCATTGGAAGAGATCTATCATGGCTGCACCAAAAGAATGAGAATTTCCCGAAAAAGGCTGAACCCAGATGGTAGAAGTATCCGAACCGAGGACAAAATCCTCACTATTGAGATCAAGAGAGGGTGGAAAGAAGGCACCAAAATAACTTTCCCAAAAGAAGGTGATGAAACACACAACACTATCCCAGCCGATATTGTTTTTGTCATTAAAGACAAAAGTCATTCTCTCTTCAAGAGAGATGGTTCAAATATTATCTATCCTGTTAAAATCAGTTTGCGGGAGGTAAGTTTCTCATTAGTCGATGGTATAACTGAAATATAAAAACAAATTGTCTTATGGTATTGTGGGTACCCTGCTGAAAACAAATCTGTAGTAGTTATCATAGTTCAGTATTCCTGTTCTCGAATACAGTTTAATCAAATTGAATATAGTGCATAGGTATCTGTTCCAGAGTCATTGCTTTTTATTGGGTTCTGCATCATAGCCTAAGTTTTGTCTATGGTAACATACAGGATAATCTCAGGGAAAGGAAAGTAGAGTATATTTGCAATTTTTTTTAACACTAATTACAATAGCTTTCTGTATGTAAATGAACATTGTGTTGGAGTAATAATGAATGCATCCTTTGTAATGGACGCCTTCTATGATATACCATCCTTATCATTTCTGGTGCAGAACTCATCTAGAATATTTTCACAGCTCACCAATTACCATAAAATCTCGAGTATAATGCACACCTATGTATAATGCGCATCTGCCTTTGAAAGGTCAAAATCCTTGACTAAAATAAACTCGTATCTGTAATGTGCACCCCCATTATAGTCGAGATTTTAAGGTATGCATAGGAAGGAAGGGGCTCGTGCCTGCCGCCGGGCCCCTGACCAGCTGAGCTCACGCCTGCTATGGGGTCCCCCGCCCAGCTGAGCTTGCATGCACTGAGCTCATGCCTGCCACAGGGTCCCCTTGCCCAGCCGAGCTCACGCACGCTGAGTTGGCACCTGCCCGGGGGGGCGGGAGAGCTTTCCCCGCCCAGCTGTCCTCCCACCGATCTCGTGCTTGCCGGCCCCCCAATCCAGCCCATGCCTGGCCACCCCCCGCCCAGCTGGTGCCTGCCGAGGGTGAGTTTTTAAAATATTTTTTAAAAAAAACCTCCTATGGATAATGCGCACCGTGACTTTGACATTTAAAAAAAAAGGGGATGTAAAAAAAGTGCGCACTATACTCGCAACTTTATGGTAAGTTTAATGTTGTGAACATGCAAAATGTCTCATGTCACACATTTCAGTGTGCTTTTAGGATACATAGAGATGGATTTCATGAGGATAAATTGCGAACAGGGATAATGGAAGTTATATGTGATGATAAAAATGTATTCATAACATTATTTTAAATGTACTTCAAAGACCAAAGCAGTTTTGTTTTCAGAAGCAAAAATAAGGGATTGCAGTATTTTTTTTTCTTTGGTGTTTGAAGACAGTTAAAGGAATTGATACTCCACACAATTATTCAGATCTTTATTTTTTAAATGTAGTATTAAAGAATAGTTAAAATAAATTAATCTCAAGTGATGTGCAGAGGACACGTAAAGAAAGTCTGCCTATATTCTACAATTTTAAAAAAGGAATAAAACCCTTGTTAATTATTTTTTCATTAAATAAACCACCTAATACAAGAGGAAAATTAGTATGTAATGACAGAATGGGTAATGTGGTTTCTTTAAAAATACAATAATTCTGCCACTGCATCCAGATAACACTGAGTTTTGTCAGCACAGATTAAGTACATGGTATAGTTGGAAAACAAAAGCAATTCTTGCAGAAGTCCTATGAAAATGTGTAAGTACTTAAATAAAATAGGAAAGTAGTGAGAATTTCTGTTTTAAAAAAAAAAAGCAAAGTGCTTTTTTGTTCTTGGTTTTTTTTGCCAAGAAATTATATCTTGATATAGTGAAAGTAAATCCTTGGTGTGTGTGTGTGTTAGCATTTGCTTTATTTTAAACATCACAGATGTGTATGTGAAAGGATACTATCAAGACTGATAGTAGAATTGAGCAATTTTTGGGGGGGAGGGGGCGAAAGAGATTAAATTAAAAAAATCCAGGAGGAAAAATAGAATAAAAAAATTTGAGGGAAAATAAAATTAAAAATGTGATTTAAACCAATTTTTTTCTTCAAAAATTTCATTTTGAATTGACCAAAACGTTTTGGTCAATTCAAAACAAAATGTTTGAGTCAACCATTTCAGATGGTTTTCCAACACCACCTCCCCGGTTTTCTTTGTTTGTTTCTTTGTTTGTTTCTTTGTTTCTTCCCCTCCCTCCCTCCCTCCATCATCCATCCATCCGCTAAATTTTGAATTCAGAGTGCCATTTCTAAATGAAAAGGTCAAAATGAAACATTTCACATTGCGGGGATTTTTCCTTGGCCAAAACTACTATTTAATTCAATTCACACTTGAAAACTGTTTTGGAACCTCAACAAATAACTCCTTCCAAAAATGAATGTTAGATACTACCTCTAAAATAATTTTTAAAAGCAAATTTAGTGAAACAAGTGTTGCAAGAGTCTTAAAGTAAATGTATAGTCTGTGTAACCTAAGCACAGCAGAGCAAGGACTCTGAATTTCTAGACAGCTGAGATACTACTTGTTTAGTAGAAATTCCTGAGTAGAAGACAATGAGAGTACTGAGTGTATTTGTTCTGTTTGTACTTACCCTCCACTTACGACCATCCGCACTTACGACCAAAGCGGTCGTAAATGCGGATCCGAGTTACGAACGGCGATCCACGCTTACGAACAGTGCGGTTGCCATGTAACTCTCTATGGGATCCGAGTGATGAACACTTCGAGTTACGGACCAAGTGTTGGTCCGTAACTTGTTCATAACTCGGGGAGCGGCTGTATTATGTTATCTATTGATGAATAAGGTAGGACACCAGGAAGTAAACCCTTTCATGACTGCTCCAGATATCATTCTAGGGCACTGAAACTATTTTGATGTTGAAGATACATTGGTAATAAAGCAAGTTTCCCCTTTTCAAGGGAGAAACATAAGTTTATTATTTGCCAGTTTTGACAGTTCTCTTCAGTTTTGCAAAATATTACATGTAGTCACAATATCAATAGTCTCTAATCCTTGAATCTGAAAATTCAGATTCCAGTACACATAAGCTTTGGATGGATGATTGTCTCTTTTTCTAATGATATGAACTATTTGTTTTAGGCTTTATGTGGCAGCTCGATCACCGTGCCAACGATAGAAGGAAGAACCATACCTATGACAATAAATGAGGTTGTAAAGCCTGGGATGAGGAGGAGAATTATAGGATATGGGTTGCCATTTCCCAAAAATCCTGACCAACGTGGTGATTTAATTATAGAATTTGAAGTAAATTTCCCAGACAATATACCTCCAGCATCAAAAGAAGTGCTTAGGAGAAATCTTCCTGTTTCATAAAGGAATGGATTGTATTAACACTGTTCCAGCAGGACACTGAAAATGCAGAAGACTGACAAGTTCATGCTGTAAAAGTGCAATCTATATAAATTCATGGAATATTCATTTTCTTTTCTGGGTGGAGTGTGGAAATACTGTAAAGCTACATGAGAAGATAGTTGTTGCATAGAAGACACGCAGATGACTCTTGCAGTAAAACATACAGAGAAAACCACTCACTCTATCTTATTTTAGATCTTCCTAATCAGAGAGTTTATTCAGTATTTTGCTTACATGTAAAATGTAATCATTTTGTAATTCTGCACATATTTCTAATAAAGTACTTGCTCATCCAAGTACTTTTTCATCTATCTCTAAGTTATCTGTGATAATACCCACTAATATTAGAAATCAGAGCTGATAGTAGAAATATGCTCATGTATTACCCACAGATATTTAAAGAGACTAAAGCTTTAACTGCCACCATTTAGATATGAAGTCCCACACACTAGCTTCCATTTCACAAACAAATGCTAGCTAAATGTTTATAGAGCTTCTGACCCCCAGAGGATAATGAGCCTTTTCCCAGCTGCTCCAGTTTTTTGTAGGGAATGTACTGAAGCTTTAAGGCTATGGGGAAAGTAGTACAGGTGCAGCTCCCCTGTGACATGCTCCCTTCAGAAATCCACTTGGGGAATTCTACTAATTTTGCGCTATCATCCACTCCCTAGGGTTGGATTTTGCTCCAACCATTGGCAGGAAAACATCCTATCTTGGCTCCAGAAGGAGCTGTGCTGTCATTTTGTGGAAGGCTGTCCATAGAACAGTGTAAATGAAGGCACTGGGCTTACATACACATTTCAAGATCATGCAGATCTCAGGACGTTTGTAGATGTTCAAGCACTGAACCTTCTATCCTTTCCATAAACAAGGGAGAACGTACAAAGTCCAGCTCCTAGCTAAAGGATTCTGAGGAAACTTTTAGAGCCTCATCCATAGCTCATTTATGCCTATAAAAGTATTTCCATCAATTCAGTGAGCTTGAATAAGGTCCTTTGTGAATCTCAGTAACTGAGTCTAGTATTATAACTTGTTATAGGGCTGGTTCCCTTAGTTACAGTATGGTTTTGGTGATATAATTGTCTTGCAGACTTACTTTCATAACAGAGGTTTAAAAACATGCCACGGTGCTTTAAGGGAAGATTTATTTTTCTTTATAAGAAGAAAATATTACTCTTATTTGTGGTCATTCTTTTACCTGAAGAAATCTACTGGTTACCTACTCTGGGTAATTTAGCAGCATCATATAAATGATTGTCTATAGGTGGACTATATAAGAGCTGGGGTTAATTTAGTTAGCCTTTTTTTAAATGAATCCTAGCACAGGAAAAAAATCTCACTTCAGTTTTTCAAAGGAACACATTCCTTGAAGATATGGTCAAACTTTTAACTACTATTTCTTTTTCATACAGTTCACATGTATGATCATGTAAATCATGCTCACTCACTTGTGGTCCTAAACAAACAGGGAACCTGAAGAGTAGCTAGAGTGATATTACAGAGTGGGTGGGGGGAAGCTTTAAAAGGAATGGCTACCTACTGCTTATGCTTGTTATCCTTGTATATTGTGTTAATGCATTTAAAAGATTTCCAATTTCAGAATGTTCTGTATGGCATTTCTCATGTGTTTTTTAATAAACTTGTTTTTAACTTTTATTTTTTGCTATAACCACATGTCAAACTCTGAAGTACAAATGAGGCTCAATATTCTAAACCAAGTTTTGGGAACAGAGTTTTGGAGGGGGAGGCCGCACAGCTCCCGCCTTCCTACCCCTTGAGCACGGGGAGGAGTGCTGAAGGCAGCAACACTCCGCCCCTCCTCCTTTCCCCCTACAGCATGTGTTCTGGGAGTGGACTGTGGGCGGAGCCAGGCCTAGCAGTTTGGGAAGGCACTGCCTTCCTCTGCCTCAGCTACTGGACACCCATGATAATAGTTAAAATAACTGCAGATATTTTCCAATATCCAACTTCAGGGAAGAGTAGCAGGGCTGAATTGGCAGAACTCCATAGTAATTACTCATGGTGTGTGTGTGTGTGTGTGTGTATATATATATACTGCATTCAGAAAAATAAATTATTTTATTTCACCATTTCCGAATGTGGTGTAAAACTTGAAGTACAGAAAAAGCTGCCAAATAATTCTGAAACATTTTATAGTTGTCTCTAGGAGGGAGTGGAACACATTGCCACTGCTGTCAGTGAAGAGATGAGTTCAACAATATTAAAAATGAATTAGACACTTTGTATCGAATACAGATTGAACCACTGTAGATCAGCACTCTCCCGCCCTGACCAATGATCCCTCTAATTCTTTCCATCCATATAGCGAATAAATGTTGATGTGCACTGAGGCATGTGTGGATGTGCACCACCAAGCCCATGCTGCCAGCTGTGGGCACTCTGCTAATCAGCTGGCTGACATTTGAATGTCTCCTGTGTGGCTGCCCAAGTGCTCATCTTACATTGAACACTTGACCTGACTATGTCCAACTAGAGACATTTCTGAATTGGGGAGGTCAGTGCAGAGTGCTGGAGGTTCCAGAGGCACAAGAAGTAGCACCAACCCCCTGCCCAGGGTCCCAGGCCTCGCCACTGGTCTCTTTGTTGCCGCCCAGGATACTAGCCACCAGCAGCAGGTCATAGCTGCTGGGTCCCAACCTCTGTTCCACTCTACCATACCTCTTCCCTGCCTCCTTACCCAAGTGTGCCCCATGCCTGTTCCTTCCACTTCTTCCCCGAGCTTGAACACAACAAATCACCTGATTTGCTGCATGCTGGAAGGTCCAGGAGGGTGGAGTGTAAGTTGCTAAGCATGGGGCTGCCTGCACATGGGGGCAGAGAATAGAGAGGTAAGTGTGGCACCAGTTTTCCCCTGAGAGTGCTGTATTCGATGTTTTCTACTTTTTCAAATACCTTGATTTCTGTTACAATGCAGAATACAAAGTGTATAGTGCTCACTTAATATTTTTATTACAAATATTTCCATTGTAAAAAATGGTATTTCACCTAATACAGGTATTGTGGTGCAATCTCTTTATCGTGAAAGTTGAACTTACAAATGTAGAGTTGTGTATCAAAAAACCTGCATTGCTCGGATTTTTATTGATCAGAACCATTCATCACTATAGATGCATGTCCTTTGGAATGTTGGTTGAAGAGTGAAGGGATATTTAAATTATTAGCACATTAGGTATGTAAATAAATTGTGATGCTAGTTACAACAGTGCCATGCACAAGCCTGTTCTCACTTTTGGGAGACACTATGAACAGGAAGCTGGCATCATTATCTCCTGCAAACGTAAACAAACTTCTAGGCTCTAAAGTTTTTTATATTAAAAAACAAAAGTATAGGTTGAACCTCCCTTGTCCAGCACCCTCAGGACCTAAGTGGTCCCAAACCACAGAATTTGCCAGACAAGGGGAGGTTAAGGCTTCCTACCTGGGTGTAGGGCTCTGCTCCCAGCTGGGAATGCACTCCATACCACCTGCCCCACTGCACTCTGCCCCTACACTGCACCAGTACTGACTAGGGTTGCACCCCCCACAGCACCAGCTGGGACTGTGTTCCTAGCTGCCAGCCCTGCTGCTATCAGACCCACCTGGGGCTGTGCTCTCCATTGCCAGCCCAGCCCAGGCTGCACTTCTGGCCAGCTGGGGCTCTTTGATTCAGCAATATCTTGGACAAGAGAGTCCCAGATTTTAGAGCTTCATCCTGTAGTGTGGACTGACTGTTCTTTTTCATCATCTGAATCAAATGCCACCAGCAGAAAGTTGGTTTTCTTTTTTGGTGGTTCAGGTTTTATAGCTTCCACATTGGAGTGTTGCGCTTTCAGACTTCTGAAAGCATGTGTCATACCTCCTCCCCCTCAGATTTTGGAGGGCATTTCAAATTCTTAAACTTTAGGTTGAGTGCTGTAGCTATCTTTAGAAATCTCACATTGATGCTTTGTTTGTGTTTTGTCCAATCTGCAGAGAAAGTATTCTTAAAAGGAATAGCATGTGCCGGGTCATCATCTGACTTTTTTGTGTGGTTTTTTTGAGTGAAGTTACATAGCAAAAAAATTCTATGTTTGTGAGTTGCACTTTTACAGCAGTAGATTGCACTACAGTATTTTGTATAATGTAAACTAAAAAATAATATATTTATATTTGTATTACAAATATTTTCAGTCAAAATAAGTGTGCAGTGTACACTTTGTATTCTGTGTTGTATATGAAATTAATATATTTGAAAAATCTAGAAAAATATCCAAAAATATTTAGTAAATTTCAATTGGTACTATGTTTAAGTGTGATTAAAAGTGCAATTAATCACAATTATCATGATTTTTTTTAGTTAACCATGTGAATTAACTGCAATTAATAGCATATAATATAATCTATAGAAATGAAGACCTAAACTTAAATACTTGTAACTATTGAAAACCTAAGTGCCTTTCTGCTTTCCCATCTCCATCTCTAGGCCACTTCACAGTGATATATTCAAAACCCACTGGTTTAATCATATTTGCTTGTACACAAATGGCTTAATTTTGTAATTTAAAAAAAAAGAATTAAAATTCTCTGATACTTCACTATTAAATAATGACATTAACAGCCATATGGATAACTAAGAGCTTTGAAAGACTTCAATAATACCCCTAGGCCTTAAGGTATGTTTCCTCTCCTGTGACTGGTTTATGCCAGTTGACTCAGGCTCATGGTGCTGGGGCTGTGAGGCTTTTTAATTGCAGCATAGAAGTTCCAGCTTGGGCTTCAGCCCAAACTCTAAGAACTTCCCATCTCTCAGTGTCCTAGAGCCTTAGTACCAGCAGAAGGCCAAATGTCTATATCACAATTAAATCGCCTTGCAGCTCAGGGCTTGGGCAGAGGGCTAGGATGCAAGAGTGTGAGGGTTCTAGCTTGGGTACAGGCTGTGGATTAGGAGCTTGGGGAGGAGAAGGGCTGAGAGCTGGAGTGCAGGAGTGGGTACAGGCTCTGTTAATTAGGGTGGGGCCAGAGATGAGTTTTAGGGTACAAGATGCTGGGGTGCAGCCCTAGCTTCATGAGCCTGTATCAACTGGTATGGGCTAGCCAGGCATTTTTAATTGCAGTGTAAACATACTGTTAATATTAGCCACTTGCATCTGTGTTCCAGAGCAGCAACCTGGTATCCTTTTGCAGGAGTAGAGAATTGCTCCCTTGTTGCATTCTTCCCTCTGCCTGTGACACAGCTTTAATACAACCACCTCTCTTTTTGTTGTTGTGGCTTTTTTTGCTCCTCTAGTATTTTCAAGGTTTCTCCATTGCCTTTCTCTCACCTTTTACCACCATATTTGTCTGTACACACTTGTGACAGGAATTAATTTCATTCACTTCTGTCTTCGGTGCATATTCTGGTTGCATATTTGTTGTGTGGTTCTATTTATTTGAGATCCGAGGGAAACCAGAATGCTCCAGAGAGCCTTAACCACCTTCTTATTTATTGCAAGCTTTAAACAGTTAATATAGTTTGTTTTACAAGCCTTAAAAACAATTGCTATACAATTTAAACCTTAAATACTATGAATTTTGAAAACAATTAGGATACCGAAAAGCAATTAGATTTATTATATTACAATATATAAGCGTAGTTCACTTATACTTCACCCATATGCCACCTACAGTATCAGGCAGGAGGTTCATGGTCTGTAGCCGCTGTGAAGGGTGTTTTATTTCTGATTACAATGAACAGGACCTGTGGGTCAAACCTGCTCACTACCGCCCATCGATTCTTCTTACTAAGCTCATTAGTGCTGGGTGCAGGACTGCTGAGTATGTGTATCAATGTCCCCAGCCTCCTTCTCGAGGTGGCTTGTGGAGGGAGGGTGTCCCATCCTTGGGTCATGAGTATGGCAGGCCTCTCCAGACATCCTGTGGCCAATAGCACAAGGGTCCTCTGTGGCAGCCTCCTAGGGCTGTGTGGCCAGGAGGGGCATGGCGCATGCTGCCAAATACACAGGCTGCAACACAAGCCCTGGGCTG